GGAGTTCATTATCACAGATTTTGGATTGGTGTCATTTTATTGTCGCATTGAAGTTCTCGGAGCCGGCCGTCCGGCCTGATTGGCAGAGCGTCTGAGCGGGCCCTATAATTGGGCCCTATAATGAGTGTCATCTCCCGGGGCTCCCAGTCACAATCAGACTCAGGATTCGGTTGTCACCTTGTTATTTCCTGTCAGGCCGGAGGAATCGCCATCCGCCGAGCGTTATACACGGCCCTGGAGGGAGCAATGCTCTGCAGACCTCTGAGGGAGTCAGTAATAATTCTGCAGGACATATCAGTATGTTACTGTCAGGGGGGGGTAGAAGAGTTAGAGAAATGCTCTGCGGGTCTCTATAGAGGGGGTCGGAATACTCTGCAGAATGTATCGGGAAAGCTTCCTGCCAATAGTAGCAACTGTGTAACCAATCAGATTCATGGAGAGGTTTCATTACAATTGTCACAATGTATCTGTCAGGAGGGAGATGGGACGGAGCAATGGTCTGCAGATCTCCAGAGATGTCAGTGATGGAATAATCTGCAGAGTATATTAATGTGCGTTGTATCTATAAGAAGGGATGGAGCAATGTTCTGCAGCTCCCTAGGCAGGCCGATGGTGGAATAGTCTGCAGGATCTATCATTATGTATCTGTGGGGGGGGAGATGGGACGGAGCAATGCTCTGCAGGTCCCTAGGCAGGCCGATGGTGGAATAGTCTGCAGGGTCTATCACTATGGATCTGTCAGGGGGGAGTTGGATGGAGCAATGTTCTGCAGGTCTCCAGGCAGGTGGATGGTGGAATAGTCTGCAGGATCTATCACTATGTATCTGTCAGGGGGGGAGATGGGATGGAGCAATGTTATGCAGGTCTCTAGGCAGGCTGATGGTGGAATAGTCTGCAGGGTCTATCACTATGTATCTGTCAGGGGGAGATGGGATGGAGCAATGTTCTGCAGGTCTCCAGGCAGGCGGATGGTGGAATAGTCTGCGGAGTTTCGGCGCGGCGTCCTTGCAGTGATATTCGCTGGCACATAATCAGCTTTCCAGGAAGAGCAGATGGAGGAGGAGCGGCTGGCGGGATCATCACAATCTTCTCATCCAGCGATGATATTATGTTGGATGGCGGCCGCTCGCTGATCTCATTATCTGCCCCAGAAGGAGTGATACTCTGCGGGCCCCGCACTCTACACATCCCTCCGAGTACCGTGACATCTGGGGACGTCGGAGGTTTCGCCTGAAGAAAAGTGACAATTCGGAGGAACATACGACAGAGATGACGGACGGAACGCGTCGGGGATCATCAGAGGGGACGAAATCATACCGATAGTGACAACAAACTCCATGTTTATAGATCCAAATATTCCCTTCCCCCATCCTTCCCATCTGTATTATACATCTCCTGACACTCCCTGCACTTCCCCCGACACTCCCTGCCCTTCACACTGCCTCCGACAATCCCTGCCCTTCCCACAGCCTCCGACACCCCCTCCC